ATCGAAGTCTTGGCAAGGGATGGCAGCCGCGTGCTCTCCATCCGGGAGGAGGTGGAACTGCAGCAGCCGACGGAGCTGCTGGTGGTGGAGGAGAAGATCGTTGTGTTCTCTGACATGGTGAATGATGCTGAGGGGAGGAAGATGCTGATGAGTGTTGGCAGGATGGCAAGAGGGTACAGATCATGGAGCCGATGACATGAAGAGGGGCAAGGAAGGGAAAGAGAGGGAGGAGTGGGATGAGGGAAGGAGGTGGTGAGGAGTGAAGGGGGTGGGAAAGAGGGTGAGTGGGGGAGAAGCAGAAAGGAAAGGATGATTGGATACGGTTGACAGCATCAAGGTTCTGACATGAGGCATCCTCTGGATGGAGAAGAAGAAAGGGAGTCATAGGAGCAGAGTGAGGTATGATAAACATGTGAATGGAGACAACGCAAGTTTGACAACCCCTCGAGATTGTTTTCTCATCTTCATTTCTACTTGTCACAAGCTCGCGAGGAGGTCAGAGAGTCCGAGCTCAGACGCAGAGACCAGTCTCGACAGCCGCGGCAGTGCAGGACTTGAAGTTGGGGATCTGAGTGATGAACTCGATGGGTCCCTTGCCAGTGAGGAAGTAGTGGTGGGTCATGCCGGAGATGGCGATCATGGCAAGACGGCCGTTCTTGACCTCAGTGATCTGGCGGCGTGCGAAGGCGTCAGGGTCGTTCTTGAGGCCGAGGGGATCGAAGCCGATGTCGCCGGTTCCATCGACAGTGCCGTCCCTGAGCTTGAGGAGGAAGGGCAGCTCGAGGAGGCCGATGAAGAAGAGAACCTGCCAGAGGGCGCCAGACTTGATGGCGGCGTCGTGGAGGCCCCACATCTTCTCGCCCTGGTACCACTTGTCGATGAAGGGGAAGTGGTAGAGGTCCTGGACGATGGCGCCAGTGGCGGCGAGCATGCAAACACGTCCGTGCTTGACCTCAGCCTCGCGGGCCCAGATGACGTCACCGATCTTGCCGAAGATTCCTCCGTCACGGGCCCAGTCGGCTCCCTCGATATCCCACTGGGGCAGGCCGTCGGAAACGTAGGAGAAGCGTCCTCCGGGAACAGCCGAGCGCACAGGGGCAGCCTTCTGCACGGTCTTAGCGGCAGCAGCGGGCTTGGGGGTCTGGCGGAAGGTGGCGGCGGGCTTAGCAGCGGGCTTAGCAGCTGCCTTCACGGGAGCAGCGCGGGGCTTGTTGATGAGCTGGGAGCCGCTGGGCTTGGGGGCCATGCTTCCCTGCCTGGGAGGAACTCCCATGCTGCCAGCCTTTCCCATGCTGCCGGCCTTCTGGGGGGTTCCCATGCTGCCGGGGCGGGGGGATCCAGCGCTGCCACCAGCAGGGCGGGCGGAGCCGATGCGCTGCATGGTGGGGCCGACAGGAGCGACGGAGCCTGAGGAGAGAGTGAGCGGGTGATATAGGAAGTTAGGAGAGGGGGGGAGATGGAGGGAGACTTACGTCCGTAGCTTGGGAGGGTAGGAGCGAAGGCAGAGGCAGCTGCAACAGCGCCCACAAGGAGAATCTTCCTCAACATCTGCGACAAGCAAAGTCAGCCATCCACTTCAGCTCGCTTCTCGTCTGTGCGAGCCAAGTGAAAACGCTCAGAAGGTGGAATGACATGCGATGTCGAGTTATGGGATGATGCGCAACCACGCCGGGAGGAATTTCTCTCCAAGCGCATGTAAAAGATCACAGCAAAATGAACACGCTCCACTGTGTTTGCTTCTTTCAAGACCTCATAATCCTAGAAAAACGATCCCGTCCAAATCTCCGAAAACAACACAACCTTTCACATCATCTCCAAACAGAATCTACGGTTACAATACCGACATTTATATCTTTCTTGCACACCTTCGTTTCTGTATTCTACATTACCCCATCATGGGCTCCTGCTTTTTTCAGTCTTGTGTTCCTATCCTCTAATCGCCTCGGGTACAGAATTTCAAAGATCCCTCCTTCTCGGATCAATCCAATCCTATGTGATCCGCAGCACGCTCCAATCACTCAAATCTTTCACCCCCCTCCTATTTCGGTCCTTTTGCCCAGTCTCCGTGAATCTATTAAGCATTGTGTGCCTGTACAGAAGCACAAAACGAAGTCGCTGCATCTCACAACCTCATCCTGCTGCTTCTCTTACACCACACATTCTTTGTCTCTGAAAAAATTGTGCATCCTTTCCATCCTTCATTCTACTGGTCGAGACTCAACTACTGTGATTTCTCGTTAAGTCCTGCAGCTGCTATTTTCGCTTTACAATTTCTCCAACTCGAACAATTTTTACATCGCATATTTCCTCTTTCCTCCCTCATCCTCCCCTATCCATGTTTGCTAAATCTCCTCTCTCCCCCCCCCCCCTCTACTCCTCCTCCCTCTCCCTCTCCCTCTTCTTCCTCCTACTCCATTTCTCCCTCGCTATCCATCGTCCCTTATCCTGGAGCAAGTGTCTTCGCGCCAGGGTTTTCTTACAGGATTCAACGGGAGGAACTACGGGTCCTTTTGAAAGGATCGGGATGCGAGACAAGGGGGTAGTGAGATGAGGAGGGTCATTGAATTACGTCCTAACCTTACCTCGTTTTAAAAATACCATTTTAACATCGTGTACAAAACGAAAGCTCCATACCAGTATTAGAATAGTTTTTCGCTTATAATTTGGTGTAACACTGTACTGAAAGACCCTGTAGCAAAAACTTTATTGTTCAAGATTAGGTATAACGAGCCCCCAAAACAAATATTATAGGCTACATGGTACTTTCCATGAACACTTCGGTACAATTTAAAACCCTTGTTATACATTTTCTACCGTTGTTCAACAAACTTTTAATGTTGTGGTAGTTCAGAAACCAGTACTAAACTAATCATCGTCATACAATTTCAGCAGCTACCACCCCACCCCATATCAGAACCCCCTGCACCCACCCCATAACAGCGATTCGCCACCTTGAAGGATTTTCTTTATTACCGGTATTGTTTCCTTAAATTTTGCAATCAATAGTGGGGTGGGGTTCTCATCACCCCACCCCCCCTTCCCCTCCAGAGATGAGCCAGAAGCTGCAACGAATTCGAGCAGGCACATCGAAATCCTCTGCCGAATCATTCTTATCTTTTGTGTAAATTATCATTGAAAATTTGAAATAAACTGAGAAAGACTTGAAATGAGTCCAGGTAACCAATTCTTTCACTCAGACTTCATGAGGGGTAGCCAACAAGGGTCGAAAGGGGGGTACTAAAATGGAGGAGGCGCATCTGCTCCAAAGTCTATCCGGGCCCGCCCCAGGGGTGGTCCACTGAGCCCGCCGTAGTACGGTACCGCCGCCGCACCGCACGGCACTGCGGCATGGCCCGGCCCGGGCCGGGCCCCCGGCCGGCGGGGCCCGGGGCGCGCAGCGGCAGCACTGAGTTGGCCTAGACAGTGGTACCGTACAGATGTTCAAGCTTTTTTACTGTACTTCAAGCAATCATTCCAGTCTCGAAGCCGGGCCTGGCCTTCCTCTAGCGTTTGATGCCGCGGCTCAGTCCGGCGGCGGCCTCACGACTTCATCAAGTGACTTCAACCGTGACTCAGTGAGTCACTGATCAGGTCACCAGTGGCGGCCCCGATGATGCCGCAGCCCGGGGCCGGCATTACGGGCTTGAATGGGCCGCAAGCGAGCCGGCGGCCCCCGGGCCGAGTCGGACTCGAGATGATAACGGCTCTGTAACGGCCATCAAGTTGACCTTGAAGTTTCCTCCCTCCCCAACTTCCTTATCCGGGGCTCAACTGCCAGGTCAAACCGTCCCACTACCCCCCCACAGGGCCACCCCCCAATGCGACCCTTTTTCTATATGAAGTACCCCCCTGTTGAAGGGGGTTCCTGAACATCGGATGGCAGTTGGATAAGAGCAGTAGAGCGGGGGGGGGCTAGGAAGTGTCTAGGGAGGTATTAGGGAGCCCTACTGTAGATAGAACCAGGATTCCACTCCACCCGTAGTTGGCGGATAAGGTTTTTAGGTTGACTTCGATAATTTTAAAAACTTCATACCAAGCTCATATCAATCTGTACCATAAAAAACAGTCATTTGAATCATTGTACTGATATATAAAATGATCATTCCAACCGAGATCTACCAACCGAAATAGGTCTCTCTGAGTCAACGGACAACTACCCCTCCTATCTCTGCCCTCCCCCCCCCCCCAACCTCCCCGACCCCACCTGATTGTAGCCTTGATGCAAGCTATATTAAAATCCCGGGGGCTACTATATATGAACGTGGAACGGGTCCGTTCGGTGTATCCGTGACTGGATGTAACCAGAAGGGGTGGGGTACTTTTTCATTTAAAAGTGTTTTTATGGTGACAAAATGCCTTTTGTTTGTACCAATAGAGGGCCTACATTTTTGTAGGGGAATGAGGATTTTACAAATAATTTTACGAGGGTCAAAAAGTCAACCGCCAACTCTGCCAGGAGAAGTAGTTCGCCATGGCTGTTGGGCGATGAAGCGCTTAGGGAGGAACGCAGTGGGGAGGAGGAGAGGGAGAGTGCATGGAAGATGAGGAGGAAAGGAGGAGGAGGAGGAAGAACGAAGAGAAGAAAGAGAGGAACAGAAAGAGGACAAGGACGAGGAAGGGGAAGTACTGGAGTAGGGTGTGTACGAGAGGGAAGACGGTGAGGGAGTATAGGGAGACTCTAAGGAGGTAGGATGATGGGTGCTGGACGGCAGAGATGAGTCAATTCAAGAGTAAGTCAAAAATGTCTAGAGCTGGAAGGATTGTGCGTGGAGGAGTCCGGGCTGAAGGGTTATAGATAGCAAACTTATTAGAGGAGCGGGTTGAGTGGCTCGATCTTATTTTGCGATGTTAGCATGTATGAAACTGACTCTCGCATCTTACAGCTTCACTCTCGCCTAGTTTATATACAGCATGTCCTCTGACAGGGCTGTTGTGTTCCTGTTGTTGATATGCATTCTTCAAGCGTCGGCGCAGGGGCCGGCACCGGCAAATTCCACTGAGTCATACTCTCCGCCAGATAGTTGTGCAACGAGCAGTTCAAGCAACGAGACTGTCCCTTGCGGTACTGAGGGGATCTGTGTGCGCAACTACATCTGGCCCAGCGGCAACTGGACTGGAGGCTGCTACGATGCAACGTCGTTCAAGGTTAAAAAAACTTCCACACCTTGACTCTGTTGCTGACGTCTGACACAGGAAGTGGGACAGTTCTGCTCGGCAATGCCAGAGGACACGGTGAGGATGATCGTTTCTTAGATGGTCTCCCCTTGATGTGCAAGTCCCCTGCAGGGATTCAAGTTCGACAACAAAGGCAACGTCTACTCGTGCTGCGCTGTCGCGAGGTGAACCAGTTCCCAGCTCTCTCCTGAGGACTAGAGCGGAGGGCAGGGCAGGGCAGGGCAGGGCAAGGGAGAGGGAGAGGAGAGGAGAGGAGAGGAGGGGAGGGGAGGGGAGGGGAGGGGAGGGGAGGGGAGGGGAGGGGAGAGGAATGACCTTGTGTGTTGGCAGTTGCGCGAATTTCACCATGGACACTGTGGAGACGTTGATGAAGTTCAAGGAGGATTACTGTAACGCATCCCTCTGCAACTCCAAGTATTCAGACCCCATGTCGATCCAGTGCGAGAGCAAGTCGATGCAATCCGACGTCATCTGTCAGCCCTTCTTGAAGATGTGCGTCCCTGCCCCGATGGAACCTTGCGCGGCAGTTGAGAGAAACAACACGCTCCTGTCTCGCCTCTGTCACGGGAATGACGTCGGGAATATGCGATGCGATGCGTACTGCATGACTAAAGATGCTTTTTTTGATGACGGTGATTGCAACAACGATGGGTCAAGGGTCTCTATCTTCAGAGCCTTCGACGAGAACAGGGACGGAGTTGTCACTAAGGCTGAAGCCATGAGCAGAGCTTGGTTGATCGCAAACTACACGACTGTTGTAGAAGAGAAGAAGACCATCTGGGATTTTGCAAGAATGCTTCAGGATTGCGATCACATCACCTTCCAAAAGTTCCTGTGGTACACATACCTCAACCCGGCGCCACCTGTGCTGCAGGGTGACTACCATCCGGAATATCTAGCCCTCCACATCCTCAAAGTGGGAGATATCAACGAAGACAACGAGCTGCAGCCGAATGAGCTGATGACTGTCTACAACCTCACAGACATGGAAGTCATGCTGGTAAGTCATCCCCCTCCTCCCCCTTGTCCTCCTCGTCCTTGTTCCCTCTGGCACGCCCCCCGCGCCCCCCTTCTCCTCCTCCTTCCTGCCGACACTGATGCCGGTGGCAGCTTGAGAAATCCAACGGCAACGAGACCGGCATCTACATGGACAACGTCGCCCACATCATCCAGTCGATCTACTCTGGTCTTGACGGAGATGACTGGGAGATGGAGTATGGGTATCCGCTACCCCTAGCCATCAGTGCATTCGTGAAGTTCCTGGACTTCAACGGAGATGGCATGATCTCACTCAACTTCGAGGCTTCTTACGCCATGCTCTCCATGTCGGTGATCGAACAGGTAGGAGGAGGAGGAGGCGACAGACAGTGACTGACGGCTTCGCTCCGCAGATGGACTTGGATGGCAACATGATGCTGTCTCCAGCGGAGATCCTGCAGGCTGTGAAGTTAGCTGCGAAGAACCCTTGCAACGGTGTCGAGGTCGTGACCGAGCTCAGCGCCATGCACTTGGTCAGCACCTTCCTCCCCAAGAAGTGCATGTACATCGTTCAGCCCAACTGGTTCTCCCCTCTCCCTCCTCCTCCGGTCGAGCAGCCTCCCACCTGCCAAGTCTACACCGCTCCTCTGCGGTCGCTCAGCGAGAGCTTCCAATCCGCCGCCTCCCTGCATCAGGCAGTTGCCGCGTCAACGGCCATGAGGAGGAGAAGGCCCTCTTCGTCTAACCTGTTGGTCAAGGCGCAAAAGTACGGCCGCTACCACATGGCGGATCGCAAGAAGTACGCGCACATGGTCGAGCAGATGCCCAGGGCAAGGTCAGCTGTTGCATACCCGAAATATTCCGCCAACAGGAAGCTGCTTCAGTTTGCGGACAACACCACCACCAGCGAGATGTATGACTTCCTCGTCTTCCTTCCCATGCAGTCCTGCGACTTTGGCTCCTTCGTCTCCACTACCCTGGGGAATGTCACGAATCCGTTCTCGAGGACCCGTCCCCTCACACCCGAGGCGATCCCGCAGATCATATTCGACAAGCTTGACGTGAACGACGATGGTGTGCTGACTGTTGAGGAGACGATCTGCTTGCAGCACTCTGTGTTTGACATGATTGCTGGGCCCGGAAGTTCCAACATCACAGTCGAGGAGATGAGCAACTACATGAACACAAATATCTCGTCAGTCCTATTCAGGGATTTCTACATGGTTCATCAGATCCTTGGCAACGGCTCTACTTTCACTCCTGAATCTCTTGCTGCCGAAACTGATGGTGCTGTCCAGAGCTGGGTTCAGGATCTCTACCAGCAGCTCATGGGCATGCCTCTCCTAGTCTACAACTTCACGGGCCACGAGAACTTCTTCCCCAAGTTCCAGGACTACCTGGACTCAGGAGTTTGGATCCCCCAAGGTCAAACCTACCCCGGGGCCTGCGTCGGATCCCTCATTGCCTCCGACTGGGTGCTGACGTCGGCATCCTGCGTCAACGAGCAGAAGACGTTGGATCAGGTCTCGATGATCGACAGGAATACTTCTCAGGTCGTCTACCGAGGTGTCAAGATGATGTCTGTGCACCCTGGAGCTGACTACTCCATCGAGTTCGACGTCGCTGTCATCCAGCTCACCTCCTCCTTCGACTTCGGACGCCCCGTCCACCTCTACGACGGCGGCGACCTTCGCTATGACACCTGCCATGCCCTGGCCCTCCAGGTCGCTGACGAAATGGGCAAGACGCTCCGCCCGGTCCGTCAGGTTCAGAACGAGGCATGCTACCACAACTTCTGGATGAACGGGGAAGAGAAACGCGTCGCCTCCCCCTCCATCCTCTGCACTGAGAACGCTCACCTCACGCTCGGTAGCCCCGTCGTCACCAACGTCGGGGGCATGAAGGTTCAGGTTGGCGTCACTACCACTCAGCTCCAGGACCTCCCCACCACCAGCGTCCGCGTCTCCTCCGTCCTCCAGTGGATCCTCAGTCACAAGGGGCTGGGCAGGCATCCAGCTGGAGCTCTGAACCTCAATCTTCTCAGCTTCGACCTGCTGCCCGGGGCAGTGCTCAACTTCTTCCAGGGCAACAACAGGCAGGCAAAGAAGACTGTGCTGGACTCGAACTGTGACCAGCCGCTGGCGCTGGACGACATGAACTCTGGAACCATCGTGGCAGAGTTCGACGGCTCCTGCCCAGAGTGCTTCATGACAGGGTTTGAGGTATTGTCACAGCCTCCCCCCCCCCCCCCCCCCCCCCCCCCTCACCTCCCCTAACTGAAAGCGCACTGCATCCTTCAGCTTGTTCCCTCCCCTCCCCTCCTCCCCACCTCTCCTCCTCCTCATCAGTCTCATTCCTTCTCCTTCCCTTCTCTTCCTTCCTCTCCAAGTACATCCCTGACAAACCTTCACAGGTTAAACTGGGCTACCTGTCCTGCCAGGATGCCAAGATGCAGCTGGGCTATTGCCCAGCAGACTGCCTGGCAACGCTGCCTGTTGTGAACTTCTCTGACCCCTACATGACTGCTCCTCCTCTGCCCGACTGCCAGGTACCCTGCCCAGGGGTTCTCAGCTGTTCCTTCCAGCTCACCTTTCACCTCAGAACCCGTTGTGCACGACCAACTTGACTTGGGCTCAAGTTACCGAGCTCTCGAGGATCGGCAAGGCATACACAGGTAGGACCTTGACCCTCTCAATTCCTCCTCCTTTCTTGCTCCCTCCGTCCTCCTCTTGCTCCTCCTCTTGCTCCTCCTCTTGCTCCTCCTCTTCAATCCTCCTGCTTTCTCCACCCTCCTATCTCTTCCTCCTCCCTCGCATCTTTGCTCACTTCTTCTCAGGCGGTCTTGGCCCCATGGCTGTTCGCACTTACTACGTCAACTACGGCGTCTGGATCTGTGTGCGCGATTGGAATGCGGACGAGATGAACAACTGCGGCATCAAGCACAAGCAGCTTGCTTGCTTCCGGTAAGATCTCCTCCTCCTCACCCTCCTCCCTCCTTCTGCTCATCTTCTCCGCCCCCCTCTCCCTCCCCCCCACCGTCCTCTTCGTCTGTCTTCCTCTCCTCTTCGTCAGTGACATTTCACTGCCGCAGCTTCGAAGAGAACTCCCGTGAGTTCCACTTTGACGGAGTCAACGAGGTCGTCAAGTACGTCCCAATGCAAAACTACATGATGGGTAAGACAAAGAAAAAGACAACTGTTTTGTTGTTGTATTTGGTGCTGCTGCTGTTGATATTGAAGATGGCGATGATATATGACTATTCAAACACGATGATAATGCTGGAGATGATGATTTTCTGTATTGCTGTAGTGCAGTTCCTCCTCCTCCTCCTCCTCCTCCTCCTCCTCTTCTGACTTGATCACGACAGGTCTCGACACGGAGGCCTCCCTGATGAAGGTTCTCCCTAACGACCTCCTCCCCTTCAAGCCGAGCATGTAAACCTGCGGCTCCCTCACCCTCCTGCGACTGCCTGAGGGAAGAAATCTGTGTGGGAACTCTCAGAGTTCCATCCAACTACTTTAAGTAAAACACTTGTGTTGTGCCGAAAGGAGGAGGAGGAGGAGGAGGAGGAGGAGGAGGAGGAGGAGATTTTCTTCACTCAAGCGGCAACCCCATCATCTTCCTGAATTCCATCCTGTTTGAGACTATCAGATCCCTCCTCCCCCCTTCTCCTCCCTCCTTTCTTACATCTTGGCCTTCTCTTTCTCCTGGTACGCCGCAAGTTTCTGCTGTTGCTCCGTCTCCTATACAACAATCAGCCATCCTCCTCCCCTT